ATGGCATCATCATGGCATTGTGGAATCTGTACATCATTTTTTCTCCTGTGTTTTCCTGTCTTTATGCTTGCATCTGTACAGTGTCTTAGTCCTTCCAGTGGAACTAGCCGCTGCCAGCTTCAGCTGCGTTTCTTAAACATACACCTTCGGAAAGGAGAAGAGGATGGAAAGAAAGAACTGCTAAAAGACTTACTCAATCCTGAGATGAAAACAGTTATGTGGGATTTTTGGTGCCTAATGACAGTTGGGCTTGTTTGTAATTTATAACAAAGAATTGGACACTGGAAGGTATCAAGGATTATTTTTGGTGTTAAATGCGTTTATGTGTTGGTTTTAGTTTTCTGCTCCCAGACCATGGGTTGTAGATGACACACGGCAGTTTTTTACTCTTTTTAATAACCATGTGTACCTACTAATTTAAAGTCACTACTTTTCAAAAAAAAAAGAGTACTTGTTTGAAGAGAGACTTGAATTTGAATACGAAGGTTTAATGTGGTTTTATAAAGCACAGTTGGGTCAGTGATTTGATTACAGTCATTGCATGTACACGGTTAACTTCCAAAGCTGCTTTCGCGTGGCATTTCTGACAATAACACGGAGAAGCTCCGGATCTGCAGGCGGCGGAGGGCAGTGCAGATGCGGCCCTGGCCTTGCCTCTCTCCCTTGATAGACACTTGGATAGGCCAGACCTCAGGATCCAAAGTGATGAGGTTGCTCAATCCAAGTTCAGCGACACCGATGGCTAGCTGGCCACGTAATCCGTGTTTCATGGTTGTTCCCGGGATAGCTGCTGTAGATAACTCAGCAGTGTCCATGATGCCTTTTTCTGTTTCTCCTTTTTTTAAATTGTCAGACCACCACCTTTCCTCTGCCCGCCTACATGGAGGTAAGAAGCCAAGAGAAACACATTTTGAAAAGCGGTTGGTTTGCAAAGCCTATGTGTGAGAGAGAGTGCTGGTCCCGAGAGTTTTCTCTACAGACCATCTGTACAGGCTTTGAAAGCAGCGTGTGTGAAAAGCTAAGAAAATTCACCTTCCTTCCCCTTCCCAAGACCCTAAAGACTGGAAAATCCTCGGCAACACTGTAGAACGTAGTTTTCCGCTAAAGTGAGGGCAGCTGTTAAGGAAGGCAGAAGATGTAGTTGCAAAGGCTAATCCCAGCCTAGCGGGTTGGTTTTGTTAGGACGTGGGCAATGGGGAGAGAGGCTTTTCCAGGGTGTAGTTCAATGTGGACATCTAAGCCTAGACCTGCGGAACTGCCCTTGTGGGAGCTCTCGCTTTCCTCCACTGCTGCGGTGGCATCCCCCGGCTGGTGGTGCCTTTCTGCGGCTCCCCTGTGACAGAACAGCACGAAGCAACACGCTGGTAGACTTCATTTTTTTTCATATAATATATTTTAATGATTTTGTTTATAGCTCTTTGTAACAGAAGAGAAACTGAAAAGCCTAAGTGACCAAACAGGATTGTGAAAGCATCGAGAGACTTGCTGGATTTTTATCATTGCTGGCTGTCTGGAACTGGCCTTGAATTAAAAAAAAAGTTTCTGAAAAACCACTTGACTCTCTGGGTTAGAAGGATACTGAATCTTTTATGTAGAAAACACTGGGTCCCTTATGGGGCACTAAAGGGCCTGACCTACAGGGTTATACACACATTAACCCCATGCTACATCTTAGAAATTTCCTTTTAATTTGTTTTAAAAAAAAAGAATAGCTAATTTTAGAGCCAAGTGAAGTGCACTTTGTCAAATGTAAGGGTCTGCTTTGTTTTTGGGTTTCTTTTTTCTTTTTCCCTTTTTAATTTTTCCTCCTTTTTTTCCTCCTTTTGCCTTTTTAAAAGATGTGGTTCTTTGTCAATTGCAGAAATGTTCTTTCAGCCACTCACTGAAATTCTGAATTCTGGCTTCTGCAGTTTTTATTGTCTGTGTCAGACTTGCAGCCAGACTTGGTTCTCATTTCAGCATTTCCTAGGTTCTGTTGAAACAACATCAACCCTTATTTTGTTTCTCCCCCACCCACACTTTCTTCAAATTCACCTTGTGTATTGTAGCTCATTTGTTTTAAGGAGAGAATCAACAGATCATATTCAGTGTCTTGAATAAATTGCTATATTTTGATATTAGAGAATTCTGTGCGTGTTGTTCCTTATTCTTTCCTGGTTGTTTTGCATCCTGCACTTAAGAGTTGGGGTTGTGTGACTTAAATTGTTAACGTGGTGTCACAGCCTAAAGGGTCGCAGGCCTGCGGGTGTATAAAGATCGAGACTGTGATCTTTATTTTACAAATCGTAGGATTTTGTAATAACACAAGGGCACAGAGGCTTTTTCCTCTAACTTTCTCTACTTCATTACAGATTGCCACAAATAACCACACAAATCACCACTAGCAAGTGTACCTTGCATTAAGAAAGCGGATATATATATATAAAAAAAGCTGTTACAAATTATTATCAGCAAGCAATAATATAGCAACAATCAATAATACAGCAGTGATCAATTATAGCAACAATCAATTATGGCAGCATCCAATGATAGCAGCAATGAAGCATGTGTATATATGTATATAAAAAAATATTACAGGTAACAACAAAGTTCATACCAGTGAAGCAAACTCATCAATAACGCAACAGCAGATGCACTTCGGCTGCGTTACTTACACGCATATATGTGGCACCAAGCGCATTAGACAAGTCTCAGAAGGGACCCAACCATCCCAGAAGTGGGAGGACAAACCAGGCCGGCCCAGACGTGGGCTCAGTGGGGGAACGATAAAACAACGGGCAGAATGTCGCTTCAAAGATGATCCATGCCACAGAGTTTGGAGTCAGCCAGGCGTCCCCAGTGAGGGTCCCAGGCCTTGAAGAAAGCTCACCCAGACCTGTTTAGGAAGGGGATGGGTATGGGGGTATGTGCAGCACAGGAAAAGAGAAGCTCCATATTGGATAGAAAGTAATTTTTATATCCTAAAGACACACGAGGGTGTAGGACACCACCACTTCGAGCAGCCATTAATAGCCATTTTTCACCCAGCCAATAGATGATGATGGTTTCTATTCTCTCAGACCCATTTTTATTTTCCTGCTCTTGCAGATAGAACAGCCTGTGGCAGTTACCGATTCTTGCTTTTTCAGGATCTTTTCCCCCTTTTCCAGTGTATTTTTCACCCTTTCAGACAAGTTGCCATTAAAGCTCCTTGGATTTCTGCTTATTGAGGGTATGTCAGGATGTCTTCGGTTTGTAGGTACCCAGCTGCACTTCAAAAATGCTGGCCCTGCTTCTCAAGGATGCTTCTGGTTCCCAGGCTCGCAGCTCCCAGGCTGCCAGGCAATTTCTCTCTCAGTATTTCAGCAGACATCTTCTGTTCAGTACTTTTTCCCTTCTAACCAAGTCACCTTTATGGCTGCTCACGTCACACGTTTATTGTTGAGTTTTATTTCCCACCATCATGCATTTATTGGAGATCTGTACAGCTGTTAAGGAACCATTTTCAGTAAGATAGTGTTGAAGTACTTTTTACACAAGTCCTTTAAAAAAGTTTCCTCAGAAGGAAGTTTCTCCAGATAACATAAATTGGACTGTAGTTCTGAACAAAGTAAATCGGTAATTTTTCCTCAAGCTAGCAAGGCTTAAATTCAATCCTGCTTGAGCAGTTGGAGATTTTTTAAGAACTTCAGGATATTCCAGCTTGTGCGATAGGGTCACGGTCATCTCCTCTGGCAGGAGCTCCCATGGGAACCATCTCATAGCTCCTCTCTCTGCTTGGAGCTGGTGGCACTGACACCTCAAATGATACGGTGGGCATCTCTTAGCTTTAACAGGCTGAATGTTGTGTGGTCTTTAGCTGGGTTTTATTCCACACAATGGTACCCACGGTACTTAGTGGGGGATTCAACATGAAACGTGGGATTTTTGCTTTGTGACCATGTAACACGCTGACCATTCACCTAAGCTAAGGCTGAAAGATTGTCAAAAGCCTTCAAAAGGAATTAGCGCTCAGATCAAACACAGTCTTATGTCCATGTCACGTCATC